AGGAGCTGAGTCAAAAAAGGTTTCCTGTACCTTCAGAGTAGCACTAGGCAGATGTATTTTTGCGGTACCAGCATTAAGCCCTTTCGGGTAACTAGTGCAGCGCCGCTAAAAAAAACAGTGGTACCGCAGAAAATACCGCCTTCATCAATTATGAAACACTCCCTAAAGGGTTTGTTATAAAGTTCCTTCTCCTTAAGGGATATTAATTCTTTTGAAATATTGCAGACTTTGCCAATGACGAACGTATCTGTCCGAAATTAATAGTAATATTTAAATAGAAATACACAAAGATTATTCTTCAACACTAAATAGTCTGTGAACTTTACAGTTCCATTGATACAGTGAGCCATATTCCAACAGGGCATGCCCAGCATGAGGCTATTCAGGAACACTGCTACTCGTGCACACACAATAGTCCACTGTCTTATCAGCATGGCCATACACTGACTCATGCGCACTTTGTTTCCGAAAGACGATGGCTTTTTGAAATACTGAACTCTTTTATTATTATACTACAACCCTTGAACTGTTGGACCTTTGTGTTTCAGTTAACCTTTTCAATTTTTACAGTTTGTTTTACAGTTGTTACAATACTCAGATTAAGAACTGGTGTGCTTTGTACTATTATCTGAAAATCGGCTTTACTTTTGGTAAACAACACTATGAAACACACTTTACCTAGAGAGTGATGATACCCACTATAGGTCACATGACTTAATGCGTGCAATCAGTGCATTATGGTTCTTCCTATTCAAATTTGCCGGCGTCATGTATATTTTTTTCAAAACAAATTTGCGCTCCACAGTTTCAACTGCAGTTTAATGTTACACATTTTCAAGGACTTCATCACGCACCCTTTGAAATTTTCGAGTTCATTTTATTTTTTTAAATTTCCCCCATATAGTGCCCACATTTGACAGCCGAGGATCGTGCGATGCTGGTGTAGTCGATGTGACACCAGATGAGGGTAAAATGACGGTTACGGGTATCAGTGGCAAGTGGGGAAAACCAACGTCGACAGATTCCGTGACATGTGACCCAGATCCAGACATTGCAACTTTCAGCGGTTCAGAAACTGTTGTAACATGTAAAGCAGTGAATGCTGATCTCTTTGATACGTGCACCTTCACGGTCCGTGTCTGTAAGTATTTGAATTTCTCAAGGGATGTGAGTTTGACAGATTCAGGTCATCAAGTTGGACTTGTAAACATGGGTTCATATTCAACATTTCCCAGGGTTCAGATTCAATTGCGTGATGTCCATCCGTGTAGACAGTCCTGAATGTCAGATGATTAGATTTGGTTTGCATAAAATTTATTAGCAATTTTAAGGACTCTTGTTGCTTAGCTCAAGGTTGACATAATTGTCACGTTCTCAAAATAAACTTACTGTACAAAGATAATTCATTACATGTGTACTGGAAATCACCATGAATTGCAATCACACCAGAGTTAATTCACCAGCATTAAGTTAACATCCTTAATTTAAATCGTTAGTCTTCATGATGAGGTCATGAGGTCATATTATAGTGCGCATCAAGAATATTCCATTATGTTACACAACGAAAACCATATGCCTTCAACAATAATCTTTGATCCTTTGAATCTAGAGAATTAGGTCATGACTACAATGAAGACATTGTCTTACCCATTCACCCTTTTTACTCCTGCCCTGAATACCGTAGATTGCCTTATGTAAGTATAACTAGGAGGTGCATCTTTTGCATTATTTTCCTTGATTCTCTGGGAAAGATCCAGCATTTGATGGGAACACCTGTGGTAAAGACATCACCTTATCACCAGACCCCGATGAGTATAGAGCTACTCATGCCTGGATAACAACTGCCAACAAGAAAGATGGCGAACCTGCCGAGGTGACTTGCGATCCGGTATTTGACGGCTTCCTCAAGTTTGAGGGAGGAGAGAATGTGGTCACCTGCCAGGCCAAGCAGACTGATAAAGAAGTTTCCACTTGTGAATTCAAGGTTTCCGTTTGTGAGTGAAGCTTATTGTTAATCTTTAATTGAACAAACCTATTTCTGCTGTGTATGTATTTGGGTATCGTATCATTGAACGCAACCGGGCTTAGTCTCTTAGGAATCCCAAAAGTAAGTTTTCAGTACCTACACATGTTGGCAATGGAACTTTGAAAAATCTTTTGGAGAGGCTTTTATGGTGTTATAAATTGGAGGGGCCAATATTGTCCAATGTCTGAGAAGTATTTAACATTACAATCATTTGACTTCCACCACCGGTAACTTCATAAAAGTCACAGTATTTACTGAGTTTGAAGCTGTATATCTATTTGTGAATTTAATTTGGTCCTGGTTCAAGTCGGGAAGTCCACTTGGGTCCCTGTGTAAGTTGAAGAAATCAACATGGCAGTCAAACCCAGGATGTGCCCAGTATCAAACAGAAATAGACTGGGAAAGCAACTTGGTATTATAGTGTAATAATTAAGGAGACCCTACAAGGAAATGACTGGACCAAGAGGGGGCACTGTTTTCTTACATGTCGTACTGCTCTTGCATCGGTCCAAGCTAAGCTAGCTTGGAATGAATTCATATGGTTACATTTCTTCACCATAAGAATGGTCACTATTGCACTTCTCCAACCACTGCACTACGTAAGGTGTCGCTCTCGCAACAAGGGTTTGATCCGCCGCACCTGACTGACGAGCTAGCTAGGGAAAATTTGCTCTATTTATAGGATTCTAGGGGCTTAAGAATTAATAAAATATGAGTGTCACCGAACAGCTCAACCAATGGGAATCTTCCATCTCATAACTTCCTGCTGGAATCGTGTGCAAGAATCTTAAAAGTGTTGTGTGTGAAAAGGTGAAATAAAGAATAAGAAGTCAGGTGTACAAAGTGTAGAGCAAGGTGAGTGAAAGTGCTTACCAGTCCGTCTTTGGTGAATGACTGACAGTTCCAAACCGGAGATATTTTAATATTGGCATTGCATGGAATCTTACAGGCCTGAAGGCTGGGTGGGTTCAAGGGTTTCGAACGGCTCCCCCCCCCTTCACTTCTGAGTTACGCGTTTTGGTGATCTTTTTTTTCTGTGTACTGAACATTTTAAATATACCTTAATATTCGGCATATGAGCCACGGCATATACTTTGAATTTCAAGCTTAAGGTGACCACGATTCTGCAAAATAATGAATCTCTTTCAGTCATATGTACCGGCAAATATCCACATTTCAGGTGTTTCAAAGGATTTGAAATCAATGTATTTTTATTAAGTTTATTCAATATTGAATACTTCAGTGTACAAGTCTTCTTTGGTTTGCGACAGACATGCAAGTTTTCAATATTGTTTTCCAAAGCACATTGTGATAGGCCTTTGTATAAAAATATATGTTTGCAGTGCCAGAAGTTCCACATTTTGGTTTGACTTAACCCCCTCATCTCTGGTCAGGTAACAGGCCTGCCTTATCACACCCAACCACGCAGCCACGTACGTGGAGGGGAATTTCTGACATGCCAAACTGAGCAGAGAAAACACAAGGACAAAGGAGTGAAGGAATTAACACACGATCATGCCAGAGTACAGCACGAATAACTTGATACGAAATTAGCGCCTCTTACATGATCATAAGGCATAGCTGAGCTAAATAAGAGACCCTGAGAAATGCAAGGACCGAGAACGAGTAAAACTAGGGGGCGCTAGAATTCCAAGATTTGCGGGCGCGCAACAGTATGTTATATTTTCCAGATTCTGAGCATTCCATGCCACGTTGTCACTCACCAATGCCATATTTTGAGCTGAACAATTGTCCAGTAAAGACACTGTCGTCGCTGACTCAAACACTTCAGAGTCTTACGATTCCAGTGTTTTTGAAGTGTAGAAATGTGATGGTTGGATTCCATGCACAGCAGTGAGTTAAAGCTGACAACTTGATCACATTTTCAGAAACAGTTTGATGCCTCATGACCTCTGGGTGTTTCCTGACTGGCAAAGGGTCAGGCAAATAAAAGAATCGAAGATGACCTTGTATGACGGGTAGTGCAGTTTCCCCCAATCAATTCAATGCTTGATGCATGTGTCAAATGTGGCCGCAGAGTGAAAAAATGGAATACAGCACTTTGGAGGATATGGATATCATACACTCCAATCCTTTCTGTGGACCATATGTTTATCTAAATCAGATTATATCAACACCCCCTGTTCTCTGAAAGGCAGATATCTGTCCCCCATGTACACCTTTCCTAACATTTATATCTTAGTTAACAGCTTTTATACCAGAGGGCATTTTGAAGGATTGTGTGCAATCACTTCTTAAAAGTTTTCACTGTCTTTTCTTTTCCAGGGCCAAATATGGATAAAAACACGGTTGTAGGTCCTATAGTAACGGCACCAGACCAAGGAAGCAGTAAGGCCATTGTTGGCTGGAGTGTACCTACTGCAAGAGGCTTGGGTACTAATCCTGTACCAGTTGAATGCATACCACTGCCCTCATCATCATTTAATGGAGGTGTTACTCCTGTTGACTGTAGTGCTATAGATCCCATAGCCACCTTCAGAGCCGTCAATCGATTCACCGTCAGTGTTTGTAAGTTTGACAATTATTGTTCCCCATCTGCTGCATTGGTACTTTATGCATTCCATTTCTCTACGATATTGAAAAGGGTATTCTGTTGTTGAAAATTTCCTCCCAAATCCCTTGTGGTTGAAGGTTTTTGTGTGATTGCCAACACATAATACAGTCGTTTCACAAGAGTGCACCTCCAAGAGTTTGCAACGCGTTGGCCAATCACAATGCGCGAAATTTGTCGACCCAATGCGCGTTTCAAAAGGGTCGACAAATTTCGCGAGTTGTGATTGGTCAACCCGTTACAAACTCCTGCAGGCGCACTATTGTCAATCGCCCGTATTAATGGTTCCCTTACCATTTCCTCAGTTTTACCGATTCCAACCCGTCAGTGGCGTGTGAAATAACCAGCACGTTCGGTATTTTAAAAATGTAAAGTTACTACGGTATAAAGCACGCTTGCAAGTCGACCGGCACAGGACTGTGCTCATATAGGGCAGATATTTTGTATGTGTCTGAATGATCTCATCAGATGAGCTTGACTTTTGAGCATGCATAGGCTGTTGAAATAATCAATCTGGCTCATCAAGGCCAGCAACTTAGAAACCTGCCTTGTGCTGTATAATTATAATGAAGTCTGGACCTCAGTGTCCTCGCTTGACATTTTGCTGTGCCAACAACTTTTCTCTGGACAGTGTTGTCTGACATAATTATAGAGCGTGATCTAAATGTTCTCTGAAGGCAGCCTCATATAAAAATCTTCTCTTTTCAGGGCCAAACTTACTTGACGGCACAGCAGTAAAAGATATAAAACGGGGGCCCAAGCAAGGAACAAACACAGCTGCAAGTGTCGACTGGGTCGTACCTACTGCATATGGCTCAAATGCTGAAGACCTTACCGTCGTATGCAAACCTGCTTCCGGATCAGCTTTTAGCAAAGTTCAAACACATGTGAAGTGTGAAGCTACAGATCCGATACTGACAGATCAAAAAACAACAGATAATTTCAAAGTTCTTATTTGTAAGTGAAAGTTATGGTAAGAAGACTTAAAAGTGTGCAGCAACAAGTTTCAAAGTGTAGTTTAAAACTGGCCCTGGGGCCAATCACCTCTTCTTGCAAAGAAAATATTCAAGAGTCAAATGACAAATTGCCTACAATTTCGAACTCTTGAGTTTTCCCCATGCTCAGCAAAAACCTTCTGGACGATTGTAAGTCTTATTATTTCTTTCTGATCACAGTGAATTTGCTTTTGAGGCAAAGGAGAAGACATTTCAAATAATGAATTATTGCTGCAAGTTTTTTTAACATTCGTCAATGACTTTGCTTTTTGTAGGGGATCGAGACATGCTCTATCACAAATCTCAAAATGAGTGTGAGAAATAAATGAATTATAAACAAGGGTGTAAGAACAAAGCTTTTTGGCTGATTTTAACTTATTGGTTTGGATTTTCCAGCTGTTTCCCCTGCTCGGTACAAATCTAAGGGAACATTTCAGGTTTTTTGTATGTGGCTACTCACAACCCTGCATAGAAATCAGCTTTAAAACTATAAGGCCTGTGGACTCTGTCTTCAAAATGGAAAAAGACATTCAGAGAAGCAGAGGACGGGATCACATGACCCTGTATCCCCCTCTCCATAAATGAACATTTTCCGGAAGAATTATAAACTGTGGCCTTTCAGGTATTTGGTTATGTCAGCGGGATCTTGATGGTAATGTACAATTTATTTGTAATAAAATGAAAAGCTACATAAATTATGTACCATCCAAAAATGAAGTTGAATTTAGTTGTTGCAGTTTTTCCAACGGTTTGGCCAGTTTCTGTGTTTTGTTCATCTTTTTGCACTTTCTTCCTGGTGGGTCACATAAAGACAAAAATGCTGTTGAGTGACACTGAATAGTTCAAAGCTCAGGAAAGGACAGGGATTTTGGGGGGATTTATAAATTCGTTCACAGATTTGTTTGCACGAACTACAAATTCATTTGCTTGAATTATTAAGAACAAAATAATTCATTTAAACGAATTAACAATTCGTGCGAACAAAAATAATAATTCGTGCAAACGAATTAACAATTCGTGAGAACAAAATAACAAATTTTAGGCATGAAGTAACAATTTGTGGGAATGAATCAACAATTTGTACGAATGAAATAACAGTTCATGCAAACGAACGTGTAATTAAAAAAAAATCCCCTTGTCGCTTCACAGGCTTCATAGAAAAGCACTGTAAACAAAATGAAAGTTACATTGATGCAGGTTGCAATGGAAAGCATCTATTATATTGCATGTGTAGTTTGGACAGAAGTAAAAGTATCTCCAATTTAATATAGTAATCTCATACTCTATCATCTACTGTTCCAACCTTATCTCAGTTACAAGTTATTTGTAGCACCCCACTTTCTGATTCCATTTTAAGTGCAATTTTTTTTAAATGGATGCAGTAGTTTCCTTTTTCAAAGTGCGTATAACCTCCC